GCACAGGCCCTGAGTTCAATCCCCAGGACCAGTACCAAAATAAATATAGATGATACTAGTTGTGAGTATTATGACTTACAAAAGATTGTGTATTGAAATATTTTTCAACTATAACAAGGATAAACTGCCCTTAGCAAATGTAAACATAATAGCCATTAATTTATATAACATTATTTATGAAAGAATTTCATATAGCAAGTCATTTATATTCTTAGTGAAATACACTGGAATATGTAGGAGAGAGAGAGAGGGAGGGAGGGGGTGAGAGAGAGAGGGAGGGAGAGAGGGAGAAAGAGAGCCCAAAGGCTGAAGAAGAAGCAAGTTGCAGCCAGTTATCTCCTGACTGGTCTGATGTCAAGATACAGAAGTCTTTGCTCAAAGGGAATCTAACTTCAGAATCTCGAGGCAACTCCAGGAGCCTAAAACAGCTTGATAACTCAGACTCAATCCTGCTTTTACTTAAATTCATTCAATTTTTATATTCTCTATCATGCCTTTCCAAGAAGATTACCTGCCTAGGTCATATTATAAGTGGCCACAGAGACTGCAAATGGCCATAACCAGTTTTCCTCTCTTTTTACACTGATCCTCCTTCCCATAAGCTTCCTCCCCTCTTTATTAAAGAGTCATATATTTTAAGAGAGAAGATAATATTTAACATTCATAATTGACCTGAATAACTTTCAAGAGCATTGAAGCTGATTGAGGCACACCATCATTTAAATTTTTTTTTTCTTCTGTGTCTATTTTTTGTGCCAATCCCGGGGCTTGAATTTAGGGCCTCGGCACCATCTCTCAATTTTTATGCTCAAGGCTAGTGCTCTACTACTAGAGCCACAGCTCCATTTCTGGCTTTTTCAGTAGTTAGTTGGAAATAAGAGTCTCGTAGGCTTTCCTTCCATTATGGCTTTGAACTGTGATCATTAACTCTTAATCAGTGTGAACCGCCAGCAACTGGCCCAGTTTTTATATGTAAGAAAACCACAATCATATTCATTGAATTTTTATATATTAAGTGTTATTCTTCCATGACTATGCAATTTAATGTATAGTATTCTGATTTTGATTACAGGATTTCATTTTGATGTAAACAATAATTTCAAGTCACATTTTCTCTGACATATTTTCAGTGCAAGTGGTGGCCTTGACAATGAAACACATTTTCTGAACAACACCCTATTGGAATATGTAGATCTAACTAGACAACTCCTGGAAGCAGAAAATGAAAAAGACTCTGACACGCTGAAGGATATACGATGCCATTTCAGTGCCTTAGTGGCGAATATCATTCAGAACGTTCCAGGTATTGTTTCGGTTTCTGAAAGCATTATTGGGCATTAATACACCTTCCAACCTTTTTTTCCTTTGAAGCTTTGTAATCCAAGAAAGCAACTGGTGAACGTACTGGGAAAATATATCAGCACAACCTGGATGGCAAGAGATTGTTTACCATAAATTAGTGCAGTCCAGTGTAGACTTTCAGTAGTTAAGACACTCACACAAAAAACTGAAAAAATAAATTAGATAAGGTAAACTCTTTGGAAAAGTATGTTTTAGATTCAATGAACAAAGAATGCAGTATTCCAAATTATTGAAAATAAGATTATACTTTTTTATATAATAGAAGAGTATAGACCACGTATATAAAGTATACAAAGATATAATGCTATTGATAAATTCATTGAATGAAAATGTGCTTATTACTGACTGAAACATGTATTATGAAAATTGTTGTACACAATTCCATTTTTAAAAGTTATTTACAAGTACAAAAGTGAGTACATTAAGACTTTTTTTAAGTTGCATAAATAGTAATTTTCTCTAAGAATAAAGATTAGTGTGTTAACTAGCATATGCTAACAGTTGGCTTAAAAAAATAACTTGTTTTATATAAGGGGATTCTTTAAGCACAAAATTAGTTACATGAATTTCAAGTTCAGGAGCCCTATTTTGATAATGCCACTTAGAGGAAAGAGCTTTCCTTCCTGTAAGGTTTTCTTGTTTTTTTTTTTTCTTTTTTTTTTTATTATTGTGAAAATACCATACAGAGGGGTTACAAATTACATGGGCAAGATAGTGAGTATCCTTCCTCTAACTTTTCTGTTCTGAAGCTCCCTAATATAAAAATATGAACCGATCTCTTAGTGACTCTGACCTTTTCTCTCCACTTCCATCTTGTTTTATTGTGATACTTTTAAACTTTTGCAAATATTGATGCAGAAAACTTGCAGAGTAAAACTTCAAAGCAGAAACCCTGATCTAAACCAGCAGGTTTCAAATTTTACTATTTCCCAAATCCCTGAGGCTCTCTGGTGCTGCCAACAGCATGGGGCAGAAGAGTGGATCTGCACACCAGGCCTGAGTCACTACAAGAAAGACATCAGTCTTCTTTTTTTCTTTTCTTTTTTGGAAATATGAAACTTGAACTCAGGGCTTTACCCTTGCTAGGTAGGCACTCTACCTCTTGAGCCACACCTGCCCTTGCCCCATTTTGGTCCCTCTTTTATGCCCATGCTGCCCTGGACCCTATTCCACCTATTTATGCCTCTCATGTAACTTAAGAAGACATGTACCAGCCATTGTGTCCACCTATTAATTGAGATGGAATTTGGCCTTGAACTTCCGTTCTTCTCATCTTTGCCTACCATGTAGCTAGTATTACATGCAGGATCCATCAGCT